CCATTTCATTCAGGTTGTCAAATTTGTGGGCAAAAAGTGGTTCATAGTATTTCTTGATTATCCTTTTAATGCCCATGAGATGTGCAGTGATGCCCCCTCTTTCATTGCCGTTATTAGTAACTGATGTGCTCTTTTTTTCTGAGCTAGAGGCTTTTTTATTTTATCAATCTTCTCAAAGGGTCAGCTTTTGGTTTAACTGACTTTTCTCTATTGATTTCCTATTTTCAATTTCATTGATTTCTGCTCTAATTATTACTATTTATTTTCTTCTGCTTATCTTGGATTAATCTGCTCTTCTTTTCCAAGTCTCTTAAGTTGGAAAGTTAGACTATTGGTTTGGATCTTTCTTTTTTTGCAATATGTCCATTTAGTCTTTTCTAAGCACTGCTTTATTAATATCAAGCCAAATAGATGTCCAGACAAGGAATGTTAGATGAGCCCACAGAGGATAGTTTGTAATGATAAAATGTCAGTATGGCTGGAAGATTTAACAATTATAAGTGTCTATGCACTTAATAATTCAAAATATATGAAGCAACATCAAACAGAATTAAGGGGAGAATTGACAGATTCAGAATTATACTTAGTTTGTCACAAAATTATCTCAGTAATTGGTAAAACAACTACATAAAAAACTCTGTATAGGTATGCAAGACATGTAAGTCATCTAACATGATACTTATAGAATATTCCACCAAAAACTGTAGAGTATACATTCTTTTCAAGTGTAAATGCAACTGCTGCTAAGATAGACCAAATGCTCAATAGATGTCAAAAGATTAAACATAGAATATGTTCTCTGCCATGAAATTAAATTAGAAACCAATAATAGTATTTAGGAAAAAAGCCAACAAATATCAAAACTAAATAACACACTTCCAAATAATACATGGTTCAAAGAAGAAATTACAAAGAAAATTTAAAATATTTTAAATTATATGAAAATAAAAATAGAACATTTCAAAATTTATTGACTGCAAATAAAGCAGCAGTAGAGGGAAATAGAAAGACCTAAAATCCATGACTAAACTTCTACCACAAGAAACTAGGAAACAAAGAGCATATCAAACCCAAATAAGTAGAAGGAAGGGAATAATAAATATGAGAGAATAAATCAATAAAATAAACAAAGGATCAGCAAGCTACAGGTATGGGCCAAGTCTTGCCTGATCTCTCTGTAAAGAATGAATTTTACAGATAACAATTTGCAGTAGGTTTGATGATAGGGAACACTAACTTTGAACCTCAATTAAATAAAATCTTATCCTCTAAAAAAGTTTCATTCTTCTCATTAGTAGGCCTGTACTACAGGAATTATATTTTATTATTATTATTACATTTTGCATTTCAGTAAAACATTTGTAGAAGTTTAGCAATAAAAATGTGTGGGAATCTGTTTTCACTCTTGCTGTGTAAGTATATACTTGCATATATTCTGAATTCTTCTCTTAGGCTCACAAATATTTACATTTACTATCTATTATACTATAGATATAATATTTACTATCTGGATTTCTACAGAAAAACTTTGCCACCCATTAGAACAGACAATTGACATATCATAAAAAGAAATCAATGAAAGCAAAAGCTGGTTATTTGGAAATATTAATTAAAAAAAACCCCTGTATTAATGATCATAACCATATAACAGGTTACTGCCAAACTTAGTTACTAAGAACAACAAATATTTTCTTTCTTATCCTCCTCTTAAAATAGGTGTTAAAATAGGCAGCTCCACAATTTGAAAACCATGCAACCTGATGGAATCTGACTGATAAACAGCTTATCTTCCAGAAGCAATCCTACAGACGCAATGTGGATGGGCAATTTTGGAGAGTTAGAAACTAATTCCTGCAAGTCAAATAACCTATTGTTGCTAAGAAGTAAAATGCTGAGTATTGCATGCTTAAACGCTTTTATTGAGAGAATATTTAGCTTGCTGAGACCAGATACCAGTGCAATGCGAGCTCAGTAAGAGAAGAGCTGCAAGTCAAAGTGAATATGATGTTTGAACATAATCCATTCTGCTCCTACAATAGAAAGGAAGGCAGACAGCTCATCTGGTATTATTGTAAAAGGGAACAAGAAAAGTGACAATATTCTACTCCATAAGACAGAGAAAGCATGATATTGTTATTTTAATTATATATAGGTAATGTCTACCTAATTAATCCTAGTATAGTTGTATTTTTCTTTAGAATATTATATGTATTATAATATACAGTTTTTTGTTATGACAGCACAATGAGATACCCAACAGAATGTAAATCTCTAAGAAAAAAATGAAGAAAATAAATTGCTGTATCAGCAACAAAAAGGAACATAAAAATATTACACTTTTATCATACATGTTAATCATTTAATTAGTCCTACAATTAGTTACTAATGGCCATAGTAAACAATCCTATTGTTGATTAGTTTTAAAAATAGCACATAAGAGAAAATTAAATAATACAGAATAAATTTTCAAAACACCTATTTTAAACACTCAAAGAAATAACATACATAAGTATAATTATTTATTACTTATCATGTTATTATGTTTTAGTTTTTCTTGTCCATTTGGCTAAATCACTAGTTAGCACTCTGAAATTTAAGTGTCGCTAGTATTGGGAAAAATATTGGGGTGAATTTTGACCTTCTGCACCTGTTAGTAGAAGGTAACATAATGTTTTCTCCTAAGATTGTATTAATGGGAAAGAGTGCAGAGCACATTGTCCTGGGAGGGCAGGAACACAAGTGCAAAGGGCATGGTTTGTATGAAGCAGATGGGGTGACCCTAGTGCCCACATCTTCATTGTTTTCTACCTCTCAGCACCTCTGTTGGGAGGCAAACTGCAAATGCTCTCAAGTCTGGGAGGTCCCAGGCCCTTTACATTCTGGTCCCCTTTCTTCAATGTCTCTGCTGACTCATGTCGAGGCTGTCCTATGGTCCCCTACACAGGTGATAGATGAAGTACACGCAGAGCCCCAGCCTACAACACCCCTGTACTATGACCAGCTTTGGTACCTGTTCAACCTGCTTTCTGGGCCCCAGCTTTTCCCAGACAAACTCAGAAACCAGTATCAAGGTCACCAGCCCTCACCTCTGGGATTCTGCTATAGTTTTGATGAATTGCCAGTGTCTAGTTTCTACTAATTCTGATGCTGTGCTCGGGGGCAGAGTAACCAGGTCTCTGTTGGCTGGAAGTCTACCTTAGCTATTGGGTTGGGGGAGAAGGTCTTGGTGATGTTTCTGTGAATAAGCTTATCATGGTTTTATTACTTTTCAGTCAAGATGGTAGGGCCTCTAATGCACAGAGTCAGCATGTGGAGAAAGAAAGTGGGAGGAATTGAGTCCTTTTGCACCAGTTTTCAGTGTACAAAACACTTTCATGGCCAAAGTTCTGTTGCTGAGATTTACCTACTGGGGAAGCGTGCAGAGCTGTGGGAGTGTGGTGGGCGCAGCTTTGGGGATGATCAAGGAGGGAATTATTTTCTGAAGGTGAGTTCTGTGATGTCTGTAGAAACCTTTCCAGCGGGGAACTGGAGGCAGAGAGCTGTGTGGAAATGCTGACTGGCAGAGAAAGACATGGGAGTGAGATGGGTCTGCCCGTGGTGTGTTCCTGGGGACTGAGTCCTGAGACTGGGCAGTAAATGTTACAGAGAGGTAGGGTGAGGTGGGCTTTTCCCTGGCTTTCCCCTCCCACTGTCAACTAGTCTTTCCATTTGCCAATGCAAACACTTAATAATGAGATGCTATCTCCCCAGAGCATGCAAGTAATAGATAATTCCTGTGGGTAGGTGGTAGCAAATGGAGTGACCAAGGATCGTCAAAGATGTATGTTGATTAAAATTTGGTTAATAAATGGCTCATCCTGAATATTAGGCAAATGACTTTCTGGTAAAAAATACCCATAAAATAATGGTCAAATTTACCAATGCATTTCTTTATATAGTCAGTTGGAATTGATAAAATATCTCTTAGTGAAAATTCCATTTAAGATATGGAAACTGAAAAAGTTCAGATGTTAAATATTGCACTACAAGGAGTAATAACATTTTAATGGATATAGAAAACCTCCTAGTTCATTCTGTATTAAATACTATGCTTTAAGAAGGTATTTAAAACACAGCCTTATAGTATACAACTTTAGCAACCTTTTATTTGAATATTATTGATATAGACAGTTATGGGCTAATCTTTTAGGTAAAAGTCTTGTTTTTTTATTTTTTTATTTTTTTATTTTTTTAATTTTGGTATCATTAATCTACAATTACATGCAGGACATTATGTTTACTAGGCTCCCCCTTTCACCAAGTTCCCCCCCACATCCCCATTCACAAAAGTCTTGTTTTTTTTTCTGAACATTTTATGTGGAGTTTTGTATAACTATCAAAACAAGAAGCAGACCATTGTCACATTGCAAATGAGAACACTGGTCTATAATACATGGGAGCTGGTGTGGCATGGGGTTAAGGAGAAGGACTAGCTGTCAGTAGATATGGGGGCCACTGGGAACAGTGCTGCTGTGAACATGGGTGTTTGTTAGCTGTTTTTAAGCCAGCAAATTTTTTTGTCCAGTACTTTTATGGTTTAACTTTTTACATTTAGATTTCTGATCCATTTGAGGTTTATTTTGGACTATGGTGTGAAGCATGGACCCAATTTTATCTTTTCCCCACAGTAGCTGTCTGGTTGTTCTAACACTATCTGTTAAAAGTTCATTGTTCCCAGGAATTTGAGATGCTACCTTTATTCTATATTAAAAAGGGCCTTGTTGGAAATTCAGTTGTGTCCCTTTGGTCTTCCTGTTTGACACACCAACAGCACACGCGGTGGTACTTTCATACCTTGTAGGGGAGCCTTGGTAGGGTGGAGAGTAGAGAATGTTTTCTTGGGGAGAAGTATGTTCTATCGTTCTCTGAGGCCGTTGGGGAGGACAGATGGGGGGAATGGGTGGCTTGGAGCAGGGAAGAAGCTTCTCCTGATCCCTAGGAAGGTGTGGAGGGGTTCATTTGTCCTGGGGAAGGGACCCCATTCTCCTGGAAGAGCTCAGCCTCTGTCTTGGCACACATTTGTTGTGTACTAAATGATACTTAATGAACAAATGAGAAACTGGTTATTTCCTCTCTAGGCACAAATGTTTATTAAGGCTCTGGAAACCCCCTTGGAGCTGGTGAAGTTAATTACAGGGTGGTCTTAGTCTGGCCTTGCTGTTTGAAGCGCCTCATCGTTCTCTTTATCCAGGGCATGAAGCTTAACACCCTAGTGAAGACTGCTGGAGGGGTACCCAAGATATCTCCATAGGAGACAACACCACGGATCACACTGTCACACACCAAGGGGCCTCCGGAGTCCCCCTGCGGGCAAAAAGAGGAAGGGGCACTAAACCAGACCTTGCTCCAGGCCTCCCCTGCTCCTGCTGCCCTAAGGCCTGGGCCTCGTATAAGGCAGGGAAAGGTGAGTGAGATGGGAGGGTGGGAGAGGTGCAGAAGCCAAACTTCTGGGTCTTTATATTGTTTGTCTTCACCTCCACCTGTTGTTACTGTCTCTAGCTCAACCCAAGTCAAGGTACCTTCCCCCCACCAGGAAATCTGGACACTGGATTAATGGGAAAAGCCCCCACCTCACTCTGGTCTGGCCCTCAGACTGAGGTTGTGGGGATCTGTTCCCACACCCGGTGTGCCCAGGCCCCTCTGTCTAGGGCAACATTGGTGGATGCTCATGGCCTTACCAGGAAAGCAGACTTCCTCTCCCTTCTGTCCCCCACACAGATCTGTGTTTGGCCGGTGTAGGACATGAAGCGGTTGCTGCACACCTCATCCCTCTGCACGGTCAGCTCTACGTACTGGAGTGTGTCTGTCTGCCTGTTCGGGCCCACCAGGCCCCAGCCTGTCACGGTGCATGAGGCCCTAGGACCCAGCCTGGCTTGGGTCTGAGGCAGGGCCACAGTCCTCACGGCTTGATTCTGTCTGATTCTAGACCGCAGCTGGCAGGAGCAGGGCAGGGATTCAGAGACTGTTACTGCAGCACTCCCCTGGCCACCCCACTACCCTGGGACTCTACCCCTGCTTTGTCCTCCTTGGTCCCAGGACTCCATGTTGGGAGGAGCCAGTCTGCCTGGAGAACCAGAGGGTCAGGCAAGCAGTACCTGCAACAACATGATGTCATTCCGGATGTTCTGCTGATCATATTCAGGGTGGCGGATGGCTCTGAGCACAGGTATATATTGCTGGGTACTTTCCACCCTCCTGATATTGTGGGCCCCCAGGACGACCATTATGGATCTGCAAAGTAAGGTGTCCTAGAGGTAGGCACGGGCCACGGGGGCTGTGGTCCGCCAGCTCTGTAGGGCAGACCTCTGGATGGCCCCAGGCAGCAAGACTGCAGCTAAAGGAGCTGGGAGGACATGAGGGCTCTGGGGCTGAGCCCTCTGTGCCCTCTGCTTCTCCACAGCTCTGAAGGTAGTGGGGACATGGTGTTGGTAGGTTTTGCTTCCCCTAGAATCAATGGAGAAATAGCTTGAATTCATATTTTCAGCTCCTATGTGTTCCTCCATCTCTTCCTCTTGTTCTCTTTGATCACATCCTCCTTTTTTCCTTGTCTTCCCTGGCCTGTTCCCTGCCCTCCAAGACCTACCTGATCCCCTTTTCACCCCTTTTTTGTTAGCACCCTACTTTCAGATGGCTGCCCCTGAGCGCTTCCAGACCTATGTGACTGGCTGCTTGTGGGAGCTCCTGGGTCACTCACCTTCCCCAGCAGTGAGCTGCCGTCAGCACAAAGTCTTCTCGCACCAGAGACCCCCCACAGCTGCTCAGGCCCTCTGGAGACTGGATCAGAAGATACGCCATGTATGGGCGGGAATGGGGCCTGGCCTCCTGGCCTCCGATGATCTCCCCTGGGAGAAAGCATTTGGCACTTATGTTTGTGCTCACCGAGCCCTGGTGTGGTCACCAGCACAGTGGCTCCTGGAAGCCTAGAAGATGGGGAGGCAGGAGACGTGATGCAGCAAAGGGGGCCTTGGAGGTGAGAACTGGGGTCTTCAGGCCACCCACACTTTGGGAGAGGGCTCCGGGGTTCTGCAGGAAGCCCTCCTGGCTCCCCATCCTGGATCTCGAAACAGTCCTTGCTCCAGGAGTGACCAGCTTCGGCCTCCCTTAATGAGGAGAGACCCTGTGCTGTTGGGAGCACTTTGGAGTGGCCCCTCCCTGAGGTTCCCTGGGACTTCCTTCCTCAGGGAACTACCCAGGTCCCTCCGAGTCCAGCTCCTGGCCAGCTCGGGAATGGTTTTTAGAATCTAGATCTGAGCTTATGGGCTCTATCCTTATCTCCTAGGCTCAGACACACAGGATGCAGAATGAATTTAGAGAGCACATTTATATCATGCAAATTACATGCCAGAGGCAATCCCAAGAGTTTTATGTACATTAGTTTAACTCCCATAGCGACTCTATGAGATAGGCAATAGGTGTGATTCCTGTTTTACAGACGAGGAACCTGAGGACATGTGAATTCAAATAATTTGCCCAATGACACAAAGTTAGGAAGTGCCCAGGGAGTCTGGCTCCAGGGTCTCCGAGCGGGCGGACCCCTGAGGTTAAGGACGTGAGGTTGGGGACGTCACTCACCTGCCCCAGCCCCAGGGGGTAGGAGGAAGGCTGCCAGGAGCAGGAGCAGCTGCATCTTCCCAGGAAGGCTGCCCAGTCTGCTGCAGCTGTTGCTCCTTCCTGCCAGACCTTTTAGCCCTGGAGGGAGGAAGGAAGGAGGGGGGAGGGCGGGCTTTTGAGGAGAGTTCCATTCTGCTGGTGGGATGGGTTTCATCATCCCAGGACGCTTGCCCACCAACCGCCGTGAGCTGGGGGAAGAGGGGGTGACCTACGCTGGCTCTGTGATCCCCTGCGTGCTGCTGAGCCGGGCTTGGCAGCAGCGATGGGAACTCAGGGCAACAGGACAGGGGTTGGGCACCCTGTCCTGGTACCCTTACTCCACCGGATTTAATAACATCCCAACAACGCATGAAAGCTGGGAGCTGCCTATTGCCTCCGTTTCCTACATCGCTGGGCTCAGAGCGGCTGTCCCTTGGAATGTCAGACTTCCTCTAAATGGACGCACAGCTGCTGGATTGCTGACCTGCTTACACTTAGGAAGGCATGGCTGAGGGTGAATGAAAGCTGGCAGTGGTGTGGTGGTGCGATGTGGGCGAGGACACCAGGAAAAAGTTGAAGGAGGCAGAGAGAGGGGAAGCCTGCCTTTCTTTTACTCTTTGGCCTGTGGCCTCCCTGCTGGGACCCTTGCTCCTCTCACTTCTGTCTAGAAGTTGTCAAGGCAGATGGAGTAGCTCTGTCTGCAGAGTGGGTGGAGGGCACTGCCAGAGGAAGAAAAGGGCAGAACAAGTCTGCTACCGATAATTACTTTCTCAGGTCACTTGAGCTCCAACAAGTGGCAGAAGCCACCTAGTGACTTGATTTTTTTGAGAGCTGTCAGACCCTGGCTGAAAAACATCTGCGATCCTGTTCATGAATACAAAAGGGACTGGAAACATGCATTCCACATTGAGAGTAAGGCCTGCAGAGTACTGCAGAGTACCATAGGCACACTTGAAAATACTTAAAGATTCTGTGGATGCTCAGGAAAATATTATGCAGTATAATTTTTGCTGTAAAAGTATCGGAATGAAAAATGAACACAATTCTCAATCTTTTATGGACTGTGATAGGCCCACTTGAAAAGCTTAGATAAGTATCCTTTCCTTCTATGTAAATATACACAGGTTTTCACTTATTTTCAGAGCTTCAAAGAAATTAATCCCTTCTCTAATACATGCTCAGTGACGGCCACCTGATGAAATTCTTTATGCATCTGGGAAGTATTATGTAGAAGAAAGGGAAAAAGGAGAAAATATTCTAACAGCTTTATTAGTAGTGCCTTAGCATTTGGAGTAATTTTAATTTATCTTTCCTTACATTTTTTGACACTTTATTTTGTTTTAAAAACATTAGTCTAACTTCAGAAAAAAAGGGAAAAAGATAAAGAATGGCTTGTGAAAACAGGGGAGTGAAATATGTGCAGAACAGATATGTGGATTTGGGATTTCATTAACAGTGACTGAGGATTTCATAACAGCTTCCCCATTAAAATAACCAAGACCAAAGTTGTTTAAAATGTTTAAAACCCTTAAAAGCCTTGAAGAACTGCCAGTGTGAGAGTGATGATCAGGCCCCAACCTGAAGGACTAATAGGAACCCAGACAGGAAGCTACTATGGTCCGACTCCTTTTGTTCAGAATCCAAACTTGTTTTGATGAACAAACTTCTGTTAAGGTCAAGGATGTAGAAATCACAGATCAAGACCCATACAAGCAGGTCTAATCAGAGACCCTCTTTACAGTAAGATGAGACCTTAAAAAGTCTATACTTTCAAAGTAACAAAGAAGAGGTAATTGGCTGATTCTTGAAGGTAATTTCATGAAAGATTGGAATTACTTGGACTTTTCAAGGAATTTCAAACCTTGAACTTTCATTAATGTGGTTGTGATCTATGTCTGAAAGTATCTGGCAGAACCAAAAGCAAATCCAGAGGAAATTCACCTAATTCCAGGATTTGAATGGTACCTAAAAGTTATTTTTCAAATATAATGATAAGCATATAGTCACCTATAAACAAAATCAACAGAGAAACAAAAGAATAAGACACCATGACTAAGAAACAATAGACAGTAAGAACAGAGGAAAGAAATCTTTGATTATTGGGATAATATTTTTAGAATAACAAAATACTGATTACAAAACAATCATGCTGAAATAAAAACAAGCTTTAAAAGAGCTGCAAGGAATATGAACCGTAACAAAGTGATACAATATTTGAAAAAAGGGCTAAAATTTTCACTTCTAAAAGTGAAAAATATAATACCAAAATTACAGTTGCAGTGGATAAGAACAGAATAACTAACCTGAAATAGCTCAGAAAAAAGTGTCAAGAGTGGAGCACAGATGAGCATAAAGATAAAAACACAGCGAATAGTAGAATTGGAAAGTTGAGCATATGTTTAGTTAGAGTTCTAGAAGGGGTGAGAGAGAAAGAAAATGAGAAAAGAGGCAATATAAAATAAGATAGAGATTGGGATTTCTTTCAAAACTGATGAAAAATATCCAGTAGATTGGCCCCTCCTCCCCAGGCATATATGCTTAGAGAAACGTGCAAGTTTCTACCAGATCAAGAACGTCATAGCAGCATTATTCATGGAGATTCCAAACCAGAAACACTTGAAAAGTCCATCAACAGCAGCACAAACACTCAAACTATGCTATATTTATATAAGGGAATATTGTATCACAATGAAAATCAGTCAACTATTGCCACATGCAGCTACACCAATGAATCTTACCTACACAATGTTGAGAGGAAGAATCCAAGATTACATTCAGTATAATTCTCTTTATATGAAGTTCAAAGCTAGGCAAAATGAAACTATATGGGACAGAAATGCATACACAGGTGGTAAAAGTGTGGTGAAAAGCAAAAAAATGATTATCATGAAAGTCACAATAGTAGTAAACTGGGTTGGAGGGCAGAGGGAGAATTTTGACCAGGAAGAGGCATCGGGGATTTCTGGGATGTTGACCATGCTCTATTTCTTGAGATAAATTGTAGTGCTTACCTTGTGACTATTCTTTCAATTGTGAATTTACGTTTTGTGTACTTTTCACATATGTGCATTTTGCAGTAAAATAATAAAAAAAAAGTCTGTGTTTGCCAGAGGGTGGAGATTAGAGAAAACAGTTGGATGGAGAATGAAATGTAGGAGAATAGGTAAGGGCACATATATTTTTAATGTTTTAATTTTCTATTTCAATAAAAACTGTGATCTTTGAACAAATAAGACTGTGATATATTTCATAACATCCATAGTTGGTTACATCCACTTTTGACTGTTTTATTACATTTCCGTCAGTTACAATGTTTTTCCTCCTCTGGGATGTTGGGACATTAAAGTAGGGTGTTTCCCACCTCCTCCTGGGCCCCCATACACCACCCAAGTGCACAAGTTCTGAGCAGGCAGTTGCCAGCCAATGCTCAGTCTCTTCCCTCTCCCTTCTTTTGATGTTACTCTGGTCAGAAACCCACCTAGCTGTTCTTGGCTTTGTAGGAGGCCTGTGTGCTGAGGCACTCTTAGGGCTGCCTGATCATCTCTCTGAGAGGGACGTTCTGAAAGGTCCTAGGGAAGTTTCTCCTGATGAACTTCTGGTGCTTCTATGGCACATCAGTGCTGGAAGAAGTCTGTGCCAGTGATCTTGTCTTCCTACCACGCTGCTGGCAGCGACACTTTCTGTTGAAGAACTGGCCTGTGCTTTTGTCCCTGTAGGACAGAGCAGGTGACAAAGGAGAATCAGTGGGATCTGCATACAATTTTCCTATCAGAGCAGTTAGGAGTAAGGATTTCTTAGGTAAGGAATCCTGGATGTGGCCGGGAAAGATTGAAAAAGGTTGGAGCGCCTCAAAGTTTGATGGCAGAATAGCTTACTTGTGGGACTGAGTAGCTGATCCTGGGGCCCTGGGTACATGTGAGAAAGAGGTGGATGTGGACACACTGAAACTCTCTTCCAAAATTGCTCAGACAATCCAAATAGTCAGCAATAGGAGAATGGTAATATAAGTTATGATGTATCCATGGTATGAAATGCTATCCAGCTACAAAACAACAGCATATTTTAGAAGACTACTTAGTGGCATGGAGCAGTTTATACAACCTAATATTAAGTGGAAAAAGAATATAAAATGGTATATACAATTTGATATTAATTCTGTTTGAAGAAGGCAACAATCCGCCACACCGACTTCACGCTGTGCAAATGCGTGATTGACTAAGCATTCAAGAATGGCTGATCCCACAGCTTTTGTACCTTAGAGATCTGCAGGAAAACTGCCACTTCCAGGCCTTTTGGCGTCCCTGGCTGAAAGCATGTACCTCCTGGAAGGTATAACTGGCTTTGAAGACTGTCCAAAAATTTACCTGCCATGTCATGGGCATCACTTACCAGCGCATCACCCGCTGGCTGCCGGCTGAGATGCTGGGATCCCACTGACAGTCAGCTAAAGGTGTGGACAAGCAAGTATGGCTAGACCTCTGCTGAGTCTGGCCAGATCTTCATCTGCAGCCAGGAAGAGCCAATGAAGCCCAAGAACATCGCGGAAAAGGTCGACATTGACAGGTCTAGCATCAGGACCTCCTCCCAGTAACTGCAAGTGTTTAATAAAGATTTGTTGACCTAAAAAAACCCCAAAATGACAACTAGAACAACCCTTTTATTTGACTCTTAGTTTCATCTTTATATTATCCAATACTTTCTACAATGGAAATGTATTTGTTTTATAGGGAGAAAAGAATTTCGGGTCCATGATCTTTGTAAACAGCAAACACTATTAAGTGTTGTGGGAGACCTGAGCCAGCAGTTTGGCAAAACAACTTCCCTTTCTTCCAGGGCACATAAGTGAACCTTTTCCAGCTTCCCTTGAGGTTAGGTGTGGCTGTGGGACTGTTACAATAAATGAGGTTGAACGGAGATGATGTGCACATCACAAACTCCCATGCCTGACATCTAGCTCTTCAGCTTCCAGGATTCGACACAGATGAACATGGGAACTTGGAAGCTGTCCTAGGGGATCCCTTAATCACAAGCTGACCCTGTAATTTATGGTCCAGATGGGAACACTTGAGAGCAAAAAGGGGCACTCACC